TCTTCTGCTCGGCCTACCTGCTACTTGAGTGTTTTTCCCCAGCTGCTCTAAGTGGCGTGGGCCTACTCCCCGCTACCGGCATGTTTTACCCCCCTGCAACCCTTCAAAGTCACAGCCACAGGTAAGTACCGGCCCGATGGGCCTTGCAACCAACAAGTACCCTGGCGGGTCACGCACATACCCAACCAGCAAGCACTCAGACAGGCATGCAACCCAGCAGGCACGCACACACACACAACCGGCAAGCACTCAGACAGGCATGCAAACCAGCAGGCACGCACACACACAGACTTGGGACCACAGCAGAATGCGGGAATCACAACAAGGCATTCATTCCATTGACAAATCCCAGAAATCAGCAGTGTTCTCAGTCTGTGTTTTGGGCGGGTCATTACATTACTCCCCTCTCGAGAGCGAGGTCCCTTCGAGCGAGTAACTCAGTCAGAGTCGGCACAAAAGGCGTCATAGGCATAGATAAAAAAAAGAGTGTTAGTGAGTCCGAACGGAGTGAGTTTCGCAGCAAACTTAGCGGTCTGTCCGTCAACAATCTGTCGTTCATATGCTTTCACAACACGTGGAGCACTCTTTATCAGTTCTTTCCGGTCGATCCAGAAGAATTCGTTCAACGGGTGGTAGAGGAAATGAACTTTGTATTGTTTGTTCCTCCCTCTCCCCTCGTGAGAAACGATTCTGTCAATCTCATGGCCGCCGTCAATAGGGCGAGGTATCATAGGGTCACGGAAAGGAAAAGTCTCATCATCAATGTGTGGGAACAGTTTGGAGGCATGGAAGACTGGATACGTGTGCAGGTGAGGAGACACGTCAATCACGTAGGAAGGACCGAAGTCATCCCCGACTACCTTCAGAATCTGCCAAGGGCCGTAGTATAGTGGAAGAAGCTTCCGTGATATGCCCTCTTCATCAGAAAACTCTGACATTTTTACCCAAACATAATCCCCTACTTTGAATTTTTCTTCTTTGCGCAGCTTATTGGCATGTTTGATCATGGCATGCTAACGCTTGTTCGTAGCTGTTGTAGCAGCTTTGAGCAAGCGTGCGTACTTGGCATTGTAGCCAGGCATGCCGGGCATCAGACCAGGTGACCGTTCGGGGAACAGATAGGAGAGGGGATTACGCATAGGCCATCCATACTGCAATTGGTTTGGTGTCACACCAGTCGCAGAATGGATGGAGTTGTTGTACAGCCCCTTCACTTTGTGCAATTCCTTGTCCCACGTGTTCTGATATGGAACAATTAGTGCGCGAAGCAATTAGATGACAGTCTGGTTGATCTCCTCAGCCAATCCGTTGGCTTCGGGGTGTCGACCAGAAGTCCTGTTCAGTTTGATGTCGTAGATCTGAGACGTGAAGTCTTTCCAATCTTTGCTGATGAATTTGGTGTCCCGATCACTCACAATAGTTTTCGGGACGCCGGACTGCAGAATGTACTGCTGATGGAATTCTTCTATTACAAATTCAGTCAGGGCATGAGGAGGGAGAGGAATCAAGTTTAGAAATTTGGAGAAGCGGTCCACAATGACCATGACTTGTGAATTCCCAGCCTCACACACCTTTCCCATGTCCGTGAAATCGATGGAAATCGATTCACCGGGTCCATCAGGAATGGGGAAAGGTCTCAGTAGGCCATAAGGCTTATGCCTGTGGACCTTGATTCTTTGGCATACTTGACATTCAGCAATGAATTTCTGAGCATATCCTTTCATTCCTGGCCAATCAAATTGCTGCAGAAGACTTCCATAAGTCTTCTCAAAGCCAAAATGTCCACTCCGACCGTGCGGCAGATCCAAGAAGTGAGTTCGGAGAGGCGCATGCTTAGGTACACACAGACGGTCAAACTTTCCGTACCGGCGAAATACAAGACCCTCGCATTCATGAAAATCARGCTGACTGTTGGGGTCAGCCTTGAGCTGCTCAAGGATGGGACTAAGGTCC